CAGAAATCCGGGCAGCCTGGCTCCTGATGCCTTGCTCATAATTATGCCTCCACCCCTATTTCCTCAGGAATAAGGGGCCTGACTGTGGTAGGGTGGGAATGAGGAGGCCTGAGTTTGCCTTTGGTCTCGAACCTCCTGCATCATGAGAATCTGTTATAGAAGGGTAGGCTGTACCTGGCCCTGCCCGTCTCATCCACTCTCAATCTTCGTGGCAGGCACCACATACATGGCCTGTGTACTTGTTTGTTGGTTCTTGAGTGACAGAGGGACATTGATCCTCCTTTTTGTGTGAGTACTCCATGGTCCAAGGATGGTGCGTGGTGGAGGAAGAGGGAGAATATTTACTTAGGAGGTGGTCTCATGTGAGTGATGTGGAAATGTCTAGTTGGCAGGATGGAGGCACCATGCAGGTGAAGGTCCTGGAGACCCTCCAGCACCAGGCATGAAACTTGCAGTTCCTGCACTGCGGGCCAGTCATACAGCCTAGGGGAGGAGGACACTCAGTGGGTTTGGGCTGTGTCTCTTTATCAAGGAGCATAGAATTTTCAAGGAATGGATAACTTACAGCCTCAGGTCAGTTACTGTGGCTGTTTCCACCTGGGAACACGGTGCAAAGCATCTCACTTTTGAAGGGCAAGAGGAGCTGAAGCAACCCCACAGGAATGAGGGTTATAGCAGCACCAGAAAGGCTTCTGTCTGCCCTGTGGAAAAGGGGGAAGGAATTTCTATGTGTGTCCTGTCTGTGCCCCACAAGGGAGGGTTCTGCACAATTTGCTGCGTGCTTTACCCTCAGCAATGACCCACAGCTGCAGGTGTATTTCCACACAGGGATGAATGAGGACTCAGACATCACCTTCCACTTCTGAGTGTATCTTGGCCATTGTGCGGTCATGAACATTCATTAATGTGAGGCCTGGACGTGTGAGGTGACATGCCACAATGTGCCCTTCAAAGATGGAAAACCATTTGACCTGGGCCTCTCAGTGCTGAACAAGGAGTACCAAGTGAGCACCCAGGAGCTCCTAGCACGTGGCCGTTGCGGGCTTCCAGAGCAGGAGGCAGCTCGCCCTGAGATGGCCCCATGAGTCCCTTGGGCTCCTCCCATTACTACCCTTGCCCCAGGCTTTTCACCACAGAGCACCTTCTGCTTGCACTGCCATTTTCAGCTCGTTTCCTAAATCTGACCAGGGTCAAGGTCAGCTCACCTGCCATTTCTTTCCCCCAATGTATGGAATCTCCACTGTCTTTTCTTATGGTGTTCATTTCTACTTAGGCAGTTACTTACATTTTCATTTAGCTGAATGACTATAATATGTGTAAGAATAAAATTGTTGTATTCAGTCAAAAATTAAGCCTTTGTCTCACTCCTGGACTCCAGTTTGACTCCTGAGAACATTACCAGTGCTCTGCTCTCCTTCCAGAGGAAACCTATGCCTACAGAAGCATATAGGTCTACGATTTCATTTGCTTTTTAAACAAATCCTGGTATAAACTGCTCTACACATTACACATTACAAGTTGATTTGTTCTTAAAGACTATATCTCGAGGACATCACCTATCCACGGTGCTGCCTCAGTTTTCAAAGACTGCATAGGATCTCAATAGGAATACCCAAAATTATTGAACTTGACCTTTTGATGGGCATTTAGGTTGTTTCCAATGTTTTGCTCTCACAAATAATGCAATATTAAGCTCTCTATTCAACCCTCTTGTCATTATTAACCTTCTGATACTTACATTGGAAGATAATTACAAAGAAATGGAATAACTGGGTCAAAAATGTGTGCATTTCAAATCTGATCTATTAACACCTATAAGGTCACTTTCTCTACAGACCTCAGTAGTAAAGAATATGTTCAAACTTTCTGGCCTTCCCTAATGTTTATGCCCAAAGATTTACATTTTATTCGCATTTAAGTTGAGAATCTTTTCATATGCTAAACAGCTATTAAAAATAATATGGTATGTTTTGCAACACTTGTCCTGTTTTAACTCTCTAGCAACACATGAGTTTCATTCTTGGCCACCACCAGCTCAGATCTGAGAGACTGTAAAGAGAAACTAGGCCATTGGCAGTGAATGGCACTCATAGTTCACGAAACTGAAATACAGGCACTACATGACCGAACCAATGTGAGATTCTACCATGTTCTGAATGTGTCCAATCCTTTTATCCAATTTGAAACTGAGCAAATAATCACAGATCAATTTGGGACCCACAGGGAGGCTGCCAAGGGCTCTTCATTACTTCACTTCCTTATGACCCTGGGCAAATTTTTAAGCAAACTGAAAATCCGACCATGTTTCCTTTGCACATCTAGTTACAAAGCCAGGTACAGTACAGGTTCCCAAGAAATCCATGGTGCAGACATAAATGATTTCATAATTCACTGCTGGAATCTTACAAATTCTATTTCTATCACATCACTGTTATAGAGAGGTTATAGAAAGGACATTTGTTTATTAAGAAAACAGCAAGACACTCAGAGCAGATACAAAACTGCCTGTCCTGGGTGAACTGGCAGGAAATGAAAAATTTTCAATTCATGACTGTTTTATTCAAGTAGAGCCATAGGACTTTCCCACAGGTGTCAGACAGGCTGTAAATAGAAAGAGAAGGGTAAGGATGTGCATGCAGGCTTCTAGACTGAGAGCGGTTTGGAATGTGAATAACTGAGTAGCAGGGTGGGAGGGAATGTCTGAACTGAGCACAGCTGAGTGGGAGGGAGTCACACTCTGCAGTGAAAAGAGAGGGGGGCACTCGTGGGGGCTCCCTTCCACCTACCTGAAGTCCAAAGCTCACAGGTCCCTCCACTCAACCAGAAGAAACAAAAATAAAACTCCTATGCTGTCTCCTTCTTAGGTTATGCATGGGGAATATGCAACTTCGTTTCGGGAAAGGTTGAGACCCAGACGTAGAAAAAGCTAACTTGTTCATGTAAAGAGTGCCCATGGATGACCAAACCCCGCTCCCACCCTCCCTGCAGACTGAGAAAGGAAAAAGCCATTTTACAGAGGAGAAGCTGCAGGCTCCAATAGTGCCCAGGGCAGTCACTGCTTTGCAGAGTATGAACCCTGGCTGGAGAAGGATGCAAGGTGAAGTCTTTGATCAGGGCACACAGTATCAGCTCTCCCTGATGGTCTTCCTTGCAGGTCCCACTCTTCTCCTCCAACTAACATGGGGTTATGACACCTCTATTGCCACCCCCTGCAGTGCCTACCACTGTAACCTATCCCATGTCAGAGCCTGGACCTTGATCTAAGAAGACCCCTCCTGACCCAACAGTCCATTCCTAAGAGTGACTTTTCTCCTTGGAATGTCTGCGTTTGGGTGAACTCTGGGGAGCCCCAATTGTCAGAGGTCCTCTAAAGATTCCAATCCTCAGCCGGGCGCGGTGGCTCAAGCCTGTAATCCCAGCACTTTGGGAGGCTGAGGCGGGTGGATCATGAGGTCGAGAGATCGAGACCATCCTGGTCAACATGGTGAAACCCCGTCTCTACTAAAAATACAAAAAATTAGCTGGGCATGGTGGCGCGTGCCTGTAATCCCAGCTACTCAGGAGGCTGAGGCAGGAGAATTGCCTGAACCCAGGAGGCGGAGGTTGCGGTGAGCCGAGATCGCGCCATTGCACTCCAGCCTGGGTAACAAGAGTGAAACTCCGTCTCAAAAAAAAAAAAAAAAGATTCCAATCCTCAGTGTGTCATGATTCTTGCCTTCTCAGTAAGTCTCTGTTTGCCTTATGAACAATTTCTTGCATTCACAGTCAGAAAGGGAGAGATTTGTTTTAAATTTCAGGGAGTCTATGATACATCTTGGAATTTTCCATGGGAAAAAAAAAAAAGATCAGCATGAGGGGACTGGGACAATTTTGTGTAGAAAGCAATGTTTGGCAGGTTACATGGCAAGGAAGCGACAGATAGGAACCAATGGGTGTCACCAACAGGCCATGCCTAATACTGAAGTGCTATTTTAATAATTACTCACCAAAATATGGATTGTTTGGTAACTTGGATCAACTTTTTGAAAACACTTTAAATGTACAGTCAATAAAATGTGAGATTTCCTCTTCAGAAAATACAGCCAATGTGAGATTCTACATTTCCTGAAGAGGAAAATAAAGAGAGGGAATAAATGGAAGGAGAGGAATTCTAACATATTCCTTCCTCAAATTCTAATATAGGTTTTCGAGATGTTTTCTATTTTCAGAGAAAGAGAACTTGAGGAAGGGTCCTGAGTCTTCCACCTCAGGTGACTTCACTATGGCTGAAGTTCAATCACCTGCACCTGCACCTGTCCTCACACGGGTCTGGAGCTAAGGAGCACACAACTCAAGGACTAGACTTAAGAATCTCACCTGTCTCCTAGAATCTGCAGGAGAAGCAGGAACTCTCGGGATTTCAATGCACATGGACACCCAAAGAGAAAGGAGATGGTGTGGCTGAAGCCCAGGTATGTCCGAGTGGTCACCACTCAACAGAGCCAAGGGGCCTGGGGTGGGCTCATGAGGACACAAGGACTTTCTCTACCTCTTCCCTAAGTTTCTGTTGAGAATCAAGGTCAGTGCTCTCTCAGAGACTTCTGGAGCAGAGAACATGATTACATTCGAAGGCCAAAGCCTTTTCCACACTCCCCACCTGTTTCTCATTGTACAAGTTAGAAAAACGCGCACCTGCCAGGTGGATTCTGCACAGTGGAGAAAATGCTTCAGGACAGGCATGGAGGATGAACATCAAAACCTCTCATTTCATCATCCTTCTCTGTGCATTTCCCTGGTGATCCCTTTTTCTCCCCTCAAACCTCCCTCCCTGTCTGTCATAGGCCTGCAAACAGGTGTGGTTGTGACTAAGCTTCTTTCTAACATCTTACATCCTATCCCACAGGGAAACCTTGCTGGGAGGGGCTTGGAAACAGGAATGAAGCCAGAGGGCAGGGCTGCCAGGGACCATTTAAATGCTGCAACTCCAAGACATCCACACAGAAGACTGGACACAATTTGGAACAGCCGCCCAGAGGGAGACAACAATGTCACTACTAACTGTGAGTTGAAAATTACAGCCTTCAATAATCTTAAGCCACAGAAAAAAGAAAAGGGATATTTTATGAGATGCAAATATGAGCATTTCTACTGTGAATACTTAGAGTTGTAAGCTTGTGAATGAGATAACCTAGGGCTCTCACTTCTGAGATGCTTGTGGGTGTAGGGTATGGACCCTGGGCTGCTGTAACCCTCTGTGACCAAGTGATGGTTTCTGATGAGAATGCTGTCTGTTGAGATTATACGACTTTAGGTGGGCGGTGGATGGCCCATCAGGACATGCGGGTCTGTGCATGAGTCTCATGGGGTGACCATGCTTTGTCATGGTAACTGTGATATGACTGTGTGTGAGTACAGCCAGATCAGCGTGTGAGCATCTTTATATGCACAGCGAGTGGTCATGTGTGACTCTGAGTGCGGCTCCGTGTGACTGTGGGTGTGTGTGCTGGGATGTGACTGGGTGTTGAACTGGAAACATGCATGTGGCCTTCCGTGCATGTGAAGGTTCCTCCGCACACAGCAGCGCCCCTGATGAAGCAGCTGTGCCTCTTCCCATGTGTGTCAGCGTGGATCCCAGGTGGCAGAAACGGTGGGGATTTTGGGGACTGTGAGTAACCAAGGACTGGTCTCTGAGCATTCACGAGAGCAGAATGCACACATTCTCAGGAGCCTCTTCTCATGCAGAGTCGGGGAGATGGAGGCGGACTTTGTTGGCGTGCATGTGCAGGTGGGATCTGCACACAGTGACCACTGGCTCCTGCCTCCAGCCTCAGGTCTCTCCCTGTCCCACATCCTAGCCTGTCCTTCACACTGGGAACCAGGATGGTAGGCAGATTTTGATTCACTAGGTAAGAACACTGGGGGACTTGGTTTCAGAGATGGAATCACCTAAAACCAGCAAGGAACTTTAGCTTCAGTTCAGACAGGGCTTACAGTAAATATTTATCAAAAAGTTTGTTGAGGCCTGTAATCCCAGCACTTTGGGAGGCTGAGGTGGGAGGATCACCCAAGGCCAGGGGTTGGAGACCAGGCTGGGCAACACAGCAAGATTCTGACTTTCCAAACATTTAAACATTTGCTGGGCATGCTGATGTGTGCCTGTAGACCCAGATGCTTGGGGACTGAAGCTGGAAGATTGCTGCTGTCCAGGCATCCAAGGCTGCAGTGGGCTGTGATGGAGCCACTGCATTCTGGGGATTAGGGTAAAGGTTTCACACATATTAACTCCTATATTACTGAAAACACCCTACAAAGTAGGACTTTTAGAAAGTCCTGCCTGTATTGAAGAAACTGAGGTGGGGGAGTTCAAATAGTGAATCTAATGTCACACTGTTGGCTGTGTAAAGTGATTCACCCCAGTAAATCAAAAGTTTGGGAGGCCAAGGCAAGAGGATCTTTTGAACCTAGGAGCTCCAGACTAACTTGGGCAATATCAAGAGATCCTGACTCTCCACAAACATAAAATATTAGCTGGTTCTGTGGTGTGGACCTGTAGTCTCAACTACTTAGGGGGCTGAGGTGAGAGGATTGCTGGAGCCCTGGAGGTTGAGGATGCAGTGACTGAGCAATGATGGGCCCACTGCACTCAAGTCTGGGGAATATAATAAGAACCCATCTTAAAAACAGTGATCAAAAAATGTCAACCTCTCACTTCTAGCAGAAGGCATAATCAAGGAGAAAATTGAGGCAGCCCAGTTTCTGAAGCTCTGCTTCTAAGTATGTATTCAAGAATACAGGGTTCTGATTGTGATAAGGTGGGACAGGGGAGGCCTCAGGGTCTACCCTTCGACGTCTAACCAGCTGCCTAAAGGGAATCTGTTACAGGAGGGGAGGCCCCACATGGCCCTGTGCCTCTCGCTGAGTCTCAATTTTCTGGCAGGTGCCATACAAACAGCCTGTGTCCCTGCATATTGGTTCTTCTGTGACAATCAAAGGGAAACCTGTCCAACCTTTCATGTGAGTATTTTTGTGTCCAAGGGTGGTGGGGTGGAGAAGGGAGAACATTTGCTCAGGGGGTGACCTCATGTGAGTGACGTGGAAATGTCTAGCTGGCAGGATGGAGGCACCATGCAGGTGCAGGTCCTGGAGACCCTCCTGCACCAGGCAAGAAACCTGCAGTGGCTGTACTGCGGGCCAGTCATGAGGCCTGGGGGAGGAGGACAGTCAGGGGTTGAGATTGTGGCTCATTATCTATAAAGGGCCACAAAATTTTCAGGGGGTGGACACTCATAAGGTTAGTGACTGTAGTTCAGTTTCTGTCTGGAAATGAGGGATAGAGCATCTTCTCCTACCCTTCCCTAGGGCAGGAGCTGAAGCAGCCCCACAGAGGTGAAGCCTGCATTATCATCAGGAAGGCTTCTGTCTGCACTGGAGAAAAATGGGAAGGATCTGTGGGTACATTGTGTGTGTACTCAACAAGACAGGGACCTGCTCAACACACTGTGTGCTTTGTCTTCAGCAATCAACCACGGCTACAGGTGGATTTCCACACTGCACAGGGTGACGTCTCAGACATCGCTTTCCGTTTCCAAGTGTGCTTTGGCTATTACGTGGCCATGAACAGCCGTGAGAATGGGGCCTGGAAGCAGGAGGTGAAATCCAAGAATATGCCCTTTGAGGATGGCAAAGAGTTTGAGCTGTGCATCTCAGTGCAGGACAATGTGTACCAGGTGAGTGCCCAAGGAGCTCCCGGTACCTGGCCTCCATGGGCTCCCAGAGCAAGAGACAGCTCTCCCCGTCCTGGCTCCAAGAGTTTCTTGGGGCCTATCTCCCATAACTACCTCTGTCTCGAGCTTTTCTTCACACACCTTAACTTTTATAATTTTCCTCTTTCTTTCAACAAGTGTTGTTGCGTGCACTGCCATCCACAGCTCCTTCCCAAATCTGACTAGGGTCAAGGGTGGCTAACCTACTATTTCCTCCATATCTCTGGAGAATCTCCTCTATCTTCATTCACAGTTCTCATTTCCACTTATGCTATTATTTCAATTTTCATGTAGCTAAATGAATAAAATTGTTTTAGTCAGTCCAATATGAAGACTTTCTGTTATTCCTGATGCCAGAGCCTCAGAAGAATATTACTAGCTTCTCTACTCTTCTTCTATAGATAGTCTATGCTTATGGGAGCATATATAGACACACACACATATATATTTTCATTTCTTTTAAACAGATGCTGGCATAGATTTCTCTACACATAATACTTTAAGAACTACAGCTATTTGTACCCAAAATATATACCTTGGAGAAATCATCTATCCATGGTGCTGTCTCATTTTTTAAGGATTTCATATTATTCCCCTCAAAAAATTACCAAAACTTGTTGAATATGATCTTTACAAAAGTACTAAGGTTGTTTCCAATGTTTTGCTCTCACAGGGATGCTGTGTTAAGCTTCCTAATTATTAGATACCTTTTATCATTATCAACCTCCCAATACTTACATCGGAAGATAATTACAAACAAATGGAATAACCCATTCACAATTGTTGGCTTTAAGTTAGAGAATACAACCTAGAAGAGGACTTCCTATATAGCCTCAGTAATGAAAAAGGTGATCAAACTTTCTAACATTTCAAAGTGTATGCTAAAGGATTCACATTTTATTCAGATTTAAGTCAGGGATTTTCCCCCTATGTTTGTAAGATGTTAAAGATGATATCTAATGCTTTGCAACATATGTGCATTTCCATCTTTCTGAGAACACTTGAGTTTTATTCTTTGACACCACCAGCTGAGATCTGGGCTACTCCAAAGAGAAGCTGGGCCATGAGCAATGAATGTGAGTCAGTTCACATTGTCAAGCACTAACTCTGTGGCAGGCCCTGCGCAAGATGATGAGATTCAAGTTTATGAGACACAGTACCTGACCACGGGGATCTTCCAGGATAGAAAGAAGACCAAACAAACACATATGACAAAGAGTGGTAGAACCTCTCTGGAGAATGAGAGGAAGTGCTGAAAATATAGTGAGCAACTATCTCAAATAATCACAAAAGACAGCCTGTAAAAAGAAGTGTGTCTACTCGCTTCAGATATATAATTAGGTGCTTTCCGGTTGCATGTTGCAGGTACTAGGACATAGTGTAGAGTAGGTTGAAAGCTTGTTTAGTGAAATACAGTCTTTCTGATGCATTTTTCTTCTTCTAGGTAATGGTCAATGGCCAGTTCTCTTACACCTTTGACCATCGACTCCCACAAGGGTCCGTGAAGATGGTGCAAGTGTGGGGAGATATCTCCCTTACCTCAATGGGTGTCCATAATTAAGGGTGATAGCCAGACTCTTCACTTTCAAAAAATTCCTGTTTCTCTGTGACCATGGATTCCCAGAGCTGGCTAACAACATGATCTCTCCTCACTTCAATTCTTCCACTTGCTCATTAAAATGTCATCAAATTTTACAGAATTTGGTTCTTTCTTTCAGGGGGAAAAAGAAAGTGGTCTTTACTAAGAGGGCCTCAGGGATTCTATGGGTGGCATGAAGGAGTCAAAGGGAATAAATCTTCCCAGCACAGAAGCAGTGAGTGACAAGTCCACTGAAATACCTGAGAAGACATCAGGAACAACACCCTTCTACAGCATGGACTTTATGTCAGACACTGAACTAAAATCGCTACCCAATTTCAGATGAGTCCCTGCACTGAAATGTCAGGTAGCTGTGTTTTCAGCCGCACAGGGATAAGTGATGGGATTGGAGGCTTGAATAACTGAGCCATGACAGGGTTGGGGAGGCTGTGTCTGAGCTGAGCAGGGCTGTGTAGAAGCCCTGCTCTCTACACTGAAAGCAGAGGGGTGGGAAACCTTGAGGGTTCCCATTCCCCAACCTGAACCCAAAATGTCACATGTTCCTCCACTTAACCAGGAAAAGAAAAACAAGAAGAAAATTGCTTGTGAAGGAAACTCATATGCTTTTTTCCCTAAGTTCCGGAAAAAGGCACATACAGTATCACTTCTGGAAAGGCAAATCCCACATGTACAAATCTGATTTATTCACTTAAAGAGTGCTCATGGATGAACAAGCCCTTCTCCCATCCTTTCTGCAGACTGAGAAAGGGATAAGTGATTTCACAGAGAAGCAGCTGTAGGCTCAAATAGTTAACAGAGTAGTCATTACTTTGCAGAGTGTAAATCTTTGGAGGTCACTACTTTAAGAGTGTAAATCTTGGACAGGGATGAATGCAAGGCAAATCCTTTGATCAGAGCACACAACGTCGGTTCTCACTGATGGTCTCCCTGTAGCCATCATTCTCCACCCACAGACACAAGGATAGGACACCTTTACTCGACCCCTGCAGTACTCTCACTGCCTCTCTTCCCCCTGTTGCTGCATCTCAGAAGACAACAACTGATGATCCAGCCCTCCTTTAAGAGTGATTTTAGGCCAGGTGCGGTGGCTCACGCCTGTAATTCCAGCACTTTGGGAGGCTGAGGCGGGTGGATCACGAGGTCAAGAGATCGAGACCATCTTGGTCAACATGGTGAAACCCTGTATCTACTAAAAACACAAAAAATTAGCTGGGCATGGCGGCGCGTGCCTGTAATCCCAGCTACTCAGGAGGCCAAGGCAGGAGAATTGCCTGAATCCAGGAGGCGGAGGTTGCGGTGAGCCGAGATCGCGCCATTGCACTCCAGCCTGGGTAACAAGAGTGAAACTGTCTCAAAAAAAAAAAAAAAAAAAAAAAAAAAAAAAAAAAAAGAGTGATTTTATCCCCGGAGTGTCTCCTTTGGGGAGAATTCTGGGTCAGCCCCTTCCACCTGAGTTGCTCTAAAGTCATTAATTTTCAGAGGGTCTTGATCCTTGTCTTCCCAATACGTCTCTGTTTATTCTGGACAATTTTTGTATTTACCAGTCAGAAAGGGAGATACCTGCTTTACATTTCAGAGAGTCCAGGGTCTTTCTGGGGACTCTCCTTTGAAAAAAGAAAATTAATCATCCTGAAGAGACTGGGACAATTTTGTATAAAAGACAGTGCTTGCCACAGTCTTAAGCTAGAAACCATCAATGTTCATCAAGAGTAAAACTGCGTTATGTGTTGGCAGATTCATAAAATGCAGGAGTGGAGATGAGTGAAAAGGAAGGAACTACAGCTGCACACAGCAATATGGATGACTCCTAAAAATGAAACCTGAACAAAAGATGCATGATCCAAAAAAAGCCCTCCAAGACAAATCATGTTTAAGCAGTTTATGACCTTTGTAAAAGATAATTGGAAAGCTTTCTACATACGGATTTAGACACGTCCCTAAGTTATAACGGTAACTAAAAAATGAAGGCATGAGCTAGTGTATATATATTATATACATAATGTAACTGTGTATATTGTATACACTATACACATTGTGTGTGTGTGTACTTGATTATCACATATTCAGTATGCTCTCTCTATAAAATATACTGAGGGGAAATAATCTATACTCACATTTGCCTTTTCATGTATGACAACACTTTGGAAGAAAACAACAAATTAATAACTGCAATTACTTGGGGAGTTGTAGTGGACTAGACATGAAATAGTTTTATAGTTTTGCTGTATTTTTGCACCTTTTCTCTTTTTTTTTTTTTTTTTTTTGGAGACGGAGTTTCGCTCTTGTTACCCAGGCTGAAGTGCAATGGCGCGGTCTCGGCTCACCGCAACCTCCGCCTCCTGGGTTCAAGCAATCCTCCTGCCTCAGCCTCCTGAGTAGCTGGGATTACAGGCACGCACCACCATGCCCAGCTAGTTTTTTGTATTTTCAGTAGAGACGGGGTTTCACCATGCTGACCAGGATGGTCTCGATCTCTTGACCTCGTGATCCACCCGCCTCGGCCTCCCAAAGTGCTGGGATTACAGGCTTGAGCCACCGCGCCCGGCCCACCTTTTCTCTTTTGAGCTTTGTGAAGGCATTACCTTTTCAAATCATTAAAAATAAAAACCAAAATTTAGGCAAAAGAAAGTATACCTTCCCCTTACTTCAGATATTCCTGAAAACACTTTAACACACAATACATGCAAGATATATTTACTATTTTGATTTTATCTGTCATTTGAAATACCCTGAGGAAATAAAATTAATCTTCCACTAATTAGCCTTTATTGACTATGACACGAAGGGATTACAAACTCTAAAATTTCAAAAGTTCTTCGATAGTCTTCCATTCTTAATTTAAAAACATAAGTTTAGCAAATTGGGTCATCTTGTTCTTGCTTTCATCCTCTTGGTTAACACCCGTGGGCCCTAGTATTGACAAGTTGCCCAAACTTTATTCTTGCAATACCAACTTTTTCAGTGAGGCAAACATCAAAGACACTTTCCACAATGCCAGGACAAAAAAATCTCCATCAGGCAGGATTCTTCTAAAAACAGGCTTCAGAAGACCCCACGATTCATTGTATTTCTTTTCCCTCCTTTCTTCATGATACTCTCTCCCTTTTTTTGAACTATACGATAATTGCTCTCTTTTCCTTACAATTAAACATCTCATTTTCCACCATAAAAAACTTTTAGTTATAGGACTGGCAAATAATTATTCCTCAAACAAGCCCAAAAAAGAATGGCAGGGTTCTCTAAAGGTAGCTGCCCCTCTCTCGGTGTGAAAGTCACCACTATTTCCCGTCTTTCAACCTATCGCAGCCGAGTTCTGAAGCCAGACCACCTAGCGCCACAGAGGCAAGAGATCTTGGATACACACAAAATAATTCCGATGGACGCTGGGCTAACGCGCTTGCGAGCTGGCATCATGGGCGCCGTCTCTCGCGCCCCACACGCCCACAACCACCCAGCAGGCTTCCTCAAACCCTCTTAGCCGAAGCTGCGCTTGGCCGAAGTCAGACTCGAGGGCTTCGGGAGCCAGCTGGGGGCGTGGGAGGGCAGCCGGGCCGGAGCCGCACCCACGCGGAGTCGGGACTCGGGGTCTAACCCCGGGGCGGCCCAGATCCCGCCTACAGCCGCCTACCTCTGCCTGAGAAATGTCGCTGCCGCCATTCGTCGCGCCCGTCTGTCTGCCACTGCTATCTGCCTGCAGGTCTCACATCTCCGACCCGCAGGTTACCTGAGAAGCTCGGGGAAAACCGGAACGACACGACGACGGAGTTGCGCGGGTGCGCACTGAAGTGCGTGCGCGTGCGCATGCGTAGTTCCGTCGGTGCGCTCGCTTCTTCACAGGCGCGTGCGCTCCTGAACGTGCGTGGGGACGCTCAAGTGTGTCTTCAACCTCCTGCGCCCAAACGGAGGGGAACTTCTGGAAAGACTCCATATGTGGAGTCTGAGGCTCCTGGTGCAGACTAGAGAGTGAAGGTAATGGGGCCGGAGTAGGGGCTCCAGAGCTTTGGAACCGTCTTCCTGCAGCTTTCATGTGCCTTCAGAGCCCGCTTAAGCCTGATCTCATGTAGACCGTTTCTAGTTGACAACGGAGAGCTGCTGTGAATGTCCAACTTTTTAGCTGGTTGGTCAGACCCACCTGGCCAGGTCTTGTCCAGTAGCCGGGTCTCATAGTAAATTGGAGGCCGTCGGTAAGCATTCAGTCTCTGCTAAGGCCCAGTAACAAGACAAATGCTTTTTCCCAAAAGCTGAGTAGTCATCCGCAAGGATGGTATGGCTTTGCTCTGAAGTCTTAAGGGTCTGTTCTGTGATTCACGTATGGAACCCTGCCAAAGTTTCTAAGAGCATCTCTACCTGTCACTGACACTTCAAGAGCCGTTGCTCCTGCTGAATCCCAGGCCAAAGAAACGTGTATGACAGCCTGGGTCTGTGTGCTGCACAGCCTTCCCTTATTCTGGGCTGTGCAGAATAAGTTTGGTGTTTTGTCACACAAAACCAACAGCTTTTAAAAAATACGGTGTATATGAGTGAGTGGAATATACTCAAGTGAGGTATGTACAGCATCCAAAATTCAAAGAGTCTGACTAGGCACGTGTCCCTAGTCAGGAGGGGCCTTATGCAAAGACTCCACCTGCATATGAGAAGGGACATCTTTAGATGGCCAAGTCACTTGGAGTCTTTGAAATTTCACAAAATGGGAAGTACCCTGAATTTTTCTGGTATTTATTCCTGACTGACGCACACAAGTGTTTAACCAGTGTGTCTAACGTCATGGCCATCTCCTGATCACCAGGTCTCATCGGCATAATATCATCAGTATAAAGGATCAGCGTGTTGTCTTCTGGAAAAAAGAAGTGAACATAATGTCTTGCCTTGCAAGATGGCAGAATAGAAGGCTCCACCAATCTTACCCCCACCCCTCAAGACAGATTTAACAAGTATCTACAGAGGAAAAACACCTCCGTAAGAACCACAAAGCAGGTGAGTCTTCATAGATACCTGGTTATAACTCCATATCACTGAAAGAGGCACCGAAGGGATAGAGCTAACAGACTTGAATTGCTAATGCCACTCCTTCTTCATCCACGCTGTAGTGGTGTGGTGCCTTTTGAAAAGTATCTTTTCCTGTCCTTTGTCTACTTTTTTTTTTTTGAGACAAGGTCTCATTCTGACACCTAGGCTGAAGTGCAGTGGTGCACACTGGGCTCAGGCGATCCTCCCAGCTCAGCCTCCTAGTAGCTGGGATTACAGGTGTGTGTGAGAGAACACCCAGCTAATTTTTCTATTTTTCATAGGAACAGGGTTTTGCCATGTTGCCCAGGCTGGTCTTGAACTCCTGGGCTCAAGCCACCCGCTTGCCTCAGCCACCCAAACTGCTTGAATTACAGGCATGGGCCACTGTGCCCAGCCCTTTGCCCACTTTTTTATGGGGTTGTTTTTTTTCTTGAAAAGTTGTTAAAATTCTTTATAGATGCTAGATATTAGACCATTTTCAGATAAATCATTTGCAAATGTCATCTCCTATTCTGTAGGTTGCCTGTTGTCTCTGTTGATAGTTTCCATTGCTGTGCAGAAGCTCTTTAGTTTAAATAGATCCATTTGTCAATTTTTGTTTTTCTTGTTACTGCTTTTGGCATTTTTGTCATGAAACTTTTGCCCATTCCTATATTCAGAATGGTATTGCCTGGGTAGTCTTCCAGGTTTCTCATAGTTTTGGGTTTTACCTTTAAGTCTTTCTCCCATCTTCAGTTGATTTTTTTATATAATGCAAGGAAGGGGTTCACTTTCAATCATCTGCATATAGCTAGCCGGTTATCCCAATGCCATGTCTTGAATCAGAAGTCCTTTTTCCATTGCTTGTTTGGTTAGCTTTGTCAAAGATTAGATGGTTGTAGGTGTGCGACCTTATTTCTGGGCTCTCTATTCTGTTCCACTGGTCTATGGACCTGTTTTTGTACCAGTACCATGCTGTTTGGTTATGTGGCCCTGTAGTACAGTTGAAAGTTGGGTAATGTGATGTTTCCATCTTTGTTCTTTTTGCTTAGAAATGTCTTGGTTATTCAACTCATTTTTGGTTCCATGTGCATTTTAAAATAGTTTTTTTTATAATTTGTAAGCCTTTTCTGCACTGTGCAGAATCCACCTAGAAGGTATACATTGTCTTAACTTGTGCAATATTAAAAAAAGAGAAAAAGGGGGAATCTGGAGAAAAGTGTTGGGTAAAGTAATCCTTACCTAGAAGGTAATCCTTCTCTTTGTTTCAAGAGTTTCTGGGAGAGCACCGGCCCTTGTATCTCTCTGGGGGAGCAGGACCTGTGGAGAGAGGTTAAAAAAGTCCTTGTCTCCTCCCCCGTCACAAAGCCCTTGGCTGTGCCAGGTGTGGGCTACTCCCTTCTGTCTCTCACACACCTGGGCTCTAGCTGCAACTCCTTTCTTTCTGGGAGTTTCATGTGAATCAACATTTCAGAAACATTGTTTCTCCTGGAGATTCAGACAAAAAGGTTAGATTAAGTTTAGTCCTGGATTTGCATGTGAGTTCCAAACCTCTGTGAGGACAGAGGCAGTTACAGGTGATAAAACTTCAGTCTTAATGCAGTCATCTTCACCTGGGACAGATGCCTCAGGAACCCTCTTTGAGTTTTTTTTTTTTTCTTTTTCTTTTTGTGATGAGAAGAAGCATCCTTAAAACCTGTGTTAGCATTAAAAGATGGAATGTGTTAGAATTCCCTTTCTTCCTCCCCTTTTCCTCTCTCTTTTTTAAAAATTTGCTCTTCAGTTTTATCACTAGTGACTATAAACTATTTATAGAAAACTTGATCCTAGAGGCTGAAGGGGAGGTCATCAGTGAGAATGGACAGTGTGTGCTCTGACCAAAGAATTCGCCTTGCATCCCTCTGTGTTCAAGATTTACACTCTTCAAAGTAGTGCCTGCCATTGTTACTCTTTAAAAAAAAAATTGTACTTTAAGTTCTAGGGTACATATGCAGTACATGCAGGTTTGTTACATACATGTACATGTGCCATGGTGGTTGGCTGCATCCATCATCCCATCATCTACATTAGGTATTTCTCCTAATGCTATCCCCCTCTGCCCCCCACGCCCCCAACAGTCCCCAGTATGTGATGTTCTCCTTCCTGTGTCCATGTGTTCTCATTGTTCAACTCTCATTTATGAGTGAGTACATGAGGTGTTTGGTTTTCTATTCTTGCATTAGGTTGCTGAGAATGATGAATTCCAGCTCATCCATGTCCCTACAAAGGACAAGAACTCATGCTTTTATATGGCTTCATTGTACTCCATGATATATATGTGCCACATTTTCTTTATCCAGTCTATCATTGATGGACATTTGGGTTGGTTCCAAGTTCTTGCTGTTGTGAACAGTGCCACAATAAACATATGTGTGCATATGTCTTTTTAATAGAATGATTTATAACTCTTTGGGTATATACCTAGTAATGGGATTGCTGGGTAAAATGGTATTTCTAGTTCTAGATTCTTGAGGAATTGCCACACTGTCTTCTACAATAGTTGAACTAATTTACACTCCCACCAACAGTGTAAAAGTGTTCCTATTTCTTCACATCCTGTCAAGCATCTGTTGTCTCCTGACTTTTTAATGATCACCATTCTAAGTGGCATGAGATGGTATTTCGATGTGGTTTTAATTTGCATTTCTCTAATGACCAATGATTATGAGCTTTTTTTCATATGCTTGTTGACTGCATAAGTGTCTTCTTTTGAGAAGTGTCTGTTCATATCCTTTGCCCACTTTTTGATGAGGTTGTTTTTTTCTTGTAAATTTGTTTCAGTTCTTTGTAGATTCTGGATATTAGCCCTTTGTCAGATGGGTAGACTGCAAAAATTTTATCCCATTCTGTAGGTTGCCTGTTTACTCTGATGATAGTTTCTTTTTCTGTGCAGTAGCTCTTTAGTTTAATTAGATCCCATTTGTCTGTTTTAGCTTTTGTTGCCATTGCTTTTGGTGTTTTACTCATGAAGTCTTTGCCCATGCCTATGTCCTGAATGATATTGCCTAGGTTTTTTCTAAGGTTTTTATAGTTTTAGGCCTTACATTTAAATCTTTAATCCATCTTGAGTTAATTTTTTTATAAGATGTAAGGAAGGGATTCAGTTTCAGTTTTTTGCATATGGCTAGCCAGTTTTGCAAACACCATTTATTAAATAGGGAATCCTTTCCCCATTGCTTGTTTTTGTCAGCTTTTTCAAAGATGAGTTGGTTGTAGATGTGTGGCATTCTTTCTGAGGCCTCTGTTCTGTTCCATTGGTCTATATCTCTGTTTTGGTACTAGTACTATGCTGTTTTTATTAGTGTAGGCTGTAGTATAGTTTGAAGTCAGGCAGTGTGATGCCTCTAGCTTTGTTTTATTTTTATTTTTATTTTGCTTAGAATTGTCTTGGATATGTTGGCTCTTTTTTGATTCCATATGAAATTTAAGATTCCATATTAAATCTCATTTTTTGATTCCATATGAAATCTAACAGAAAAGGCAGCTTGAAGGGCCAGGCCAGCAAGCTTTGATATGCAGTTGCCAGCCGTTAGGAACAGGATTTACTCAATATGGTGATTCCCGCCGTCTTTTCCTTGTCACCAGGTATACTGTCATGGCAACTCCAGATAACACCAGGTTTTTTGAAATATTGTGGCAATCTGCATTTTCATATTAAAGGGCTAAGTTGGGAGGGTCAGGTTTTTCATGGGCTACGTAAATAACACACCTGGTCAAACCAATCTGCTGAACTCTATGGAAACCAGACACTGCCTCCTC